CTTTCAGTTTCGCTTCTTATTATCATCATCTTTGAGTTATTTTTTTGCCTCAACATCATCTTGTGTGTGTTGATGAAAAAGCGGCTTTCTTGAAACAGTAAAGATTAAGGTAGAAGGCAAGAAATGAGAGGTTGCCATCAAGTATTTTTTTTGAGGTGGAATGAATGATGAGAAGAATTGCCTTAAACTGAGCAAGAATTGTTTTAACTTTTCATCATTTTTTTTTCTTGTTCTGCAAAATTATTACAGGTTTACCTGGGACCGCGAAGGCTCAAGTTTACATTTAAACATGTTAATTGAAAATCAACAAATGATACAACCAGTAATAGTGACTCGACCATTTTTGGTTCATTCACATATCAACATTGAACCACATCATAATCAGCATCTTTTTTACGGAGAAACATATTTTTGCACATTCAATCAATTGTTGCAGATGAAATGATCATAAATTTACAATCAACTTGTTAACTTGATGTTACATGGCAAGTTAACTGCAATTCATCATAATCAACATAATTAGCATTGTTCTAATTTAAAGTCAGTCAAATTGTTCAAGATTAAATCACAATTATCATTTGAACCAGTAAAGTCAATTGTTTGTAAATTGGCGAATCGAGGTAAAGTAAAAGGCAGAAAAAGGTTTTAAAAAGTGATTCAAAAGATAATTGAAACAATTTAAACGAAATTTGATGAATTATGATTAATCTGATCAACTGAACTTTCCAAGAAGAATGGCTAATGATGAAAAAATAGGGATCCACAGAGAACCAGTGATTATCTAGTTATTAAGGATATTGTGTTGGGTTTGTTGTAAATACTGTACATTGACTGAACAAGTTATAAACCGATCAGTATAGAGACTCGAGTTTAATATTAAGGTAAATAATATAACAATAAAAGCTGTTTTCAATGTTAGACTCTTCAGTGAATCTCTTGGAGACTCTTGAGACTCTTGAAGGGTAACGGGTAAGCATCAAGCTCAAGCTAAAAGGTTGACGAGTTAGGTTGAGCCTTACGGCTCTCTTTACCCTCCACAACAGGCAAAGTTGAAAGTTGTCTGTTTGTTGCTCATGTCACATGTGACAGGTTCAATGTACTTCAACAATCAATGATATATACATAAATAATATCATCATTCATGATTATAATAATAAATATTAAAAGGTGAAAAAAAACAATGAAAATGTTACATTGAATAAATAGAGAAATTATTTGCCAAATTGAATTATTATTTAATAATGATGAGTGAAGGGCAGATTCAATCAAATCTTTATAAATCATTTGTACATATTTTACCATTTCAAGTGAATTTACTTCACAGCTTAAAGCGATTAACTTTGCCTCTTGCCTCTCATCATCATCCTCATCATTTCCATCATCCTCATCCTCATCATCATCATCATCATCGTCAATTAAGCCTGTTACTTTATTTACTCAACTATTTTTTACTAACATTGCCGCCCATTTTAAAATTGTCATTGGCCAGCAAATATTCAAACATTCAAATTGAACCAATCAATTTATTGATTGTTTAGGTAAAATGCAAGGTAAAAATTTTGGCCATTTTTTGCTCGATAACTTTTTCCTTTGTAATATTGAAGGTTTAGGCTTGAAACAATGTAACAAGAAAATGGCTTTACAAACAAATCATAAATCATATTAATAATGATAAAAATAAAAGCTGAAAATAGTCAAAATTAATCAACTAATTATTATTGCGGATGTTAAACTGTAACTAATAACAATTACGCCAAGTAAATAACATTAGATAAATAATAAGCATTTACCTTTAAAATTATTGTTTACCTATCATCTTAATAATGATAAGCTTCTTAATAAAGCACATTTCAAGCGTCATTTTGTTTGCTTTTTCATTAACTCTAAATTTTGTGTGTGCTTTTTGCGTACTTTTGTGTTACCTGGCGAAAAAGTAAAAAAAACAAAGGTAAAACAATTGTTGAGGAAATACGCATCAAGGTTGATGTTTAGTTGATTATTAGAGTTAACAGGTAATTGCAAGAAAGTTGAATAAAGATTGTGAATGGAAAGGTAAGAAAAAAGATGAAACTCAAAGACAATTGTTTAACCATTTTAAAGTGATATTGTCAATGAAAAGTGTGATGAAGCGATGAAGATGATGATAACAATGAGCATTGTTATAGATATTTTTGCGTCTCTTTTGACAAACTGGATTAACTGAGACAATTGTTACCAACAGATTAACGTCAACAGTTAACTCAATAATCGTTTGATTGGCCAAAAATGGTTTCCAATTAATCAAGTTAAACATGCGTTTTTATGGCCATTTCATTATCAGTGTGTCAATTTGAAACTTTTCAATGATTAACTAATCATTAACTTTGCTTTTTTTTGCAAGCCAATTATATTTAATAACATAACACACCTTGATATTTAGCAAGGCAACCAAAATGCAAATTAAATGAGCTTAATTTGGATGAAAAGAGATGAGCAACTAGATGATAACAGCGATGATAAGGGATGATGAAGGTGAATCAACTGAATCAACAGGTAATTTAGTTTTAAATATTGTTAACCTGAAAAGTTATTTACAAATGTTTTTCACGTACTTAAAGTAACAAGAATTAACTCAGTTTTGGATAAACTTTTTTTCTTCTTCAGAGTTGACATGAGAATGGCGATGAGTTTGTGGTAGCCGTGAAGATGAAGATGATGGATCATTTCATTTCTTGTTTGATGTTCAGATTTCAGAGTTTGAAATAATCTCATTTCCAAATGAATCTTAAAGCGAAAAATAAATAATCATTTCAATCATTTATCTAAACACGAGTTTACCTATTTGACAAACATTTTTACATTTTTCATTTGCCTTTCAATTTGTTGGTTTAATTTGTCAAAGAAATGATCTGAAACATTGAAACTTTCACTTTCATTGAATCTCGAAATTTAACTTGGAAGAAACGGTGAAAAGATTATGATTAATGATTGAATTTGACTGATGTTAAGATTGATTGTAAAGATGAGAAATGTTGAGGTAAACATGGAAACCTTTTTTTTGGCAATTAAAAGGTTTGTTATCCATTCATTGTTTTTTTACTGTAATTATAAATCAATTTACTTTTGGGTGTTCCAGTTGAATCTAATTGTTAGCCAAATGTTGAATGAGCTTTTAATTGAAACTATTGATTAGTGGGTGCACTTAATAACTTGCTAATCAATTGGTATTTATATCAATACGAGACATCAAGCATATAATCAAAAGCGACTCCGTTAACAATAGCAACACTCATTAGAAAAATATTTATCATTTCAAGCAATCTTTTTGTCTGCATCTTCCTCTCATCATCTCTGGTCATCACGCAATAGCATCTCTCATCTGCTCATCATCAGAATCACTAAAATCATCTTTTTACATTTTTCTTCTTCTTCTCTGTATTTCCGTTCAAATTAGTATTATTTACTCGTTATGAATAACGTTAATGGTCATCATCCTTCATCATCGCCATCACAATCATCATCATCTGTTTTAGTCTCCGGAAACAAGCTCAAAAAATAACAAGGAAATGGCTAAAAGTAAAAACTAGAATCGACCTTTTGAGTTGCAATAATTTAATGAGCAAAAAATGGTCTAAAGTCCACTGAATTTGTTCAATGAAAATGAGTAAAATTATCGGTAGAAATTGAATCAAATGGAAATTTCGTTTTATCAGTTTTCTTTTTCTGGTCTCCAAGCAACATTTTCCAGTTTACACACAAGGGTTATTTGTTAAGCCTGAATGCTCACGCTAAACTAATCTAACTTCCATCATCATCATCATCATCATACATTCCTCTTTCTCTCTTCCTTTGGTTCTATTGAGCTGCTTTTTTTCTTCCTGGTTTTTACCAGAAAATCTCGACCAAAGGCTGGGATGTTTGATAATAATGATGAAAATGATGGCGAACATAAGATGAAGAAATAAATTCGCATCAATCTTGGCTACTGCCATTGGAACAACAAGATGAAACAAGATGAAATAGAAAGAGAATGAAGATGAAGAAGAAAAACACTTTCAATGTTCAAATTTCCTTTTACTTTTTTTCTCTTCTTCTTCATCTTCTTCGTCTTCTTTCTCTGTTCGTTTCTTATATTTTCCAGGATAAAATTGTCCCTATAATTCTGTGAGCAAAAAGCTGTATTCCCATGTATTTGTCTATATAAACAATTCTCTGTGGATATTTTTATTCCTTCATCTTGTTCAAACTCACATGGATATATAAATAATATCTGAGTACATCTTTCACTCTCACTTATCCGACTATCTGTATGCGTGTTTCATCAGACAATATTCAAAGGATTTCCATTTTATCCCATTCAACCCCCCTTTTACTACATGAAACATGAGGCAAACGTAGTTCCTATGTAACACTGAGCATAAGGTAAAAGCAGGACAGTTTGTTGTTGGGATTATTGTTAAAACCCTGACTACTTGTCGGTTGATACTTTTGGGTTAACTTACACAGCAACCTTATCCCTTTAGCAATAACATCCTCATCTTGATCCTTCTTCTTCATTATTTCTTCTTTTCTCTTCATTTTCATCTTTTATTCTCTCCTCTTCTTCTCTCCTTCTTACAACCAATAGGATATGAAGTAATACAAACACACACTAAACTTGTATTATTAGTTAAATATCACAATAATATCCACTTTAATATCTTGTATAAATGTTTAACAATTATGTATATTTAAGACAAGGATAAAAGGTAATAATCAAAGTCAACAATTGTTTGGTTAACACGGATTAATGAATAATAATTGATACAAAACTCAAAATCTGTAAAGACTTAAATATCCTTCATTCAAGTTTAACTTGGGATTAAGTCCAAGTCGAAGGCTGAGAAGAAATAACTTTTTCAAAGTTATCTGAAAATCGTTCTTGATCAAGTTTAGAACCGTTCATCATTGTAATCGTTTTTGATTATTTGAAAATTTGAAAAGCAAAGTTTGGAGGAAAAAAATGAAACTTTGAAACTCACCAATTATTCACTTGAAGAATGGTTAGACCCGTATCTTGAGCCAATTGCTTCTTTTGGTCTTCGGATGGATATGGATGCTGCAATGAAATGCACACAATTAATCAATCAATTTACCATTAAAAATGTAATCATCATTATTATTAACACCAAACTGCACTTTTTTTCACTCAACAAACATGAAGATTGATCAGTTTCAATAGACTTTTGATAACTTTTTCAGTTCTTGAAATGAAATCCCTTTTTTCAAGGTTAAACTTAATTCGTATCATTAATACACTTTTCTCGTAACTTCAAGTTAATAAAAGGTTTTCAAGTTGTGATTCATCTCTACCTGAAGACGAACATGAAACATGATAAAAGCCCAAGAATGATGAAGCTAATTATGACCTGTCAACTCAACTCACTGGTCAAAAATGCAGCAGACAAGTTGATCGTTTGGCCAACAGATTCTGTGACAATTTAATAATCAAAACATCATCACTATCAACAAGCAAAATTAATCAATGATTAGAAGAAAAAAATGTAAAGAGAAAAAACAAATCAATTAATTTTAAAGCAATCTATCTAATCTGTAAGCATTCATCAAGTTAATTGTCAATGAAAAAAAGAGAAAAATCTTTAAACATTAAAGGTAATAATGATAAGATTCAATGTTTTACTTGTTTGATTGATAATGATTAATAGATTGCAAGAGGTTCGTTTCTGTCCAATTAATTGAGTTATAATTGTAACATTGATGCAAAAGAAATGATTGAAATGTAAAGAGTTGAGTTTGTCAACATTTTCATATAATTAAAGGTTGTTAATTAGTTGAACCAATTATCACTTTGATTTTTGTCAAATGATTGTTGAGTTTGATAACAATTAGAATGGGAAAAAGAAGAGAGAAAAAAAAGTTTTTCTTTTCACAGAAAAGTAGACAAAAAAAAGTTTATCAATATGACATTTTTACCCAAAAAAGTTGCCCTTTTCGCAACTTTGGTTTCTTGTTTATCAAGTCGCTTATCTGAAGCAATTGACTGTTTACTTGGTTCCTATTTTGGCTCAGAACCTTTTGGGTTCGCTTTGTTAACGCTTCCTTCAACTGTCAATGAATTTGATTCACACTAAACTTGAACTATTTGAGTCTTCAATTAACGTTGGTTCAACAAAAGCCATTGAAAAATGTTTATCATTTTAAAGAATCGCATCTTTTTTTCACTCAAGAAATGAAATTTGATTCCTTCACTTGTAATTAACTTAAAAAAGGTGAAAAGGTAAAGTTGAGTTATTTGGTTAAACTTTTCTTTCGCTTCAACAATGAATGTTGACAAGCTTCAATTTACTAATCAATCAATTAAATTCAATTTAGATCAAGAAAAATGTAACTCAATCTGATAATCTTTTAATTGTTATCAATTAAGATTAGCAACTTTTGATATTTTAATTAACCAACTTTGAGTAACTTTGAGCAACTTTGAGCAAGTTTACATTTTGCTGATCGTTGGGTTGACAAAGAGAAAGGTAAAAATGTAAAAATTGATAATTTCATTGAAACTCATTGAAGCCTTTTTCGCCTGCAGGTGATTTCAAGGTAATAACTATTTTAAAAGGTATTAATATTAAATTGATGATGATATTGACGATGCTATTGATAATGTTGATGTTGTCAGATGAATGATTGTGATGAAAATGAAATTGAAAGTTGAGTTTAAAAATGAAACCAATTTTGAGGGAAGAAAAAAGATGAACAGAGAAAAGGCTGAAAAAGTCAAATATTTAAAATAGTTGATCATCTTTCATCTTCCTTCCAATGGATTTATCATCATTGACACACCAACAATGGTTAAGGTGAAACCTCAAAGGATGAGAATTGATGAACCATTTTCAGGGTAAAATAGCGATATTCAATTCTCATATTGATTTAAGAAGTTTCCAATAAAGTTGTTCTCTCTCTCTTTGAAGTTCATGTCAACGAGATTCAGAATCAAGATTGACATGTCATTTCACCCTGTTGTGTTCAACTGTATCAATGATAAGTTAATGATAGTAAAGATAATTTTGTAAAAATTAATCTGTTCGACTGTTTACAGGTTTAATGAAAAAGTTTCAATGTTCAAGTTTAGTATCGAATTTTATTTCATGCAAAATTCACATCACATCAGAGAAAAACTTAGTTCATTTTTTTTCATCTAATATTTGATTCTCTCATCTTTCTTCTTCTCCTCCTTTTCTTCTCACTTTACTCTTTCGTCTTTACACTCATCATAATCATTCTCATGACAGTGAATTTCCTCTTCCATATTTAAATTAAATTTAAAACCATTTTCATAACCATTCAGCTGTCAGAGCAACTTTTCCCTCCATTCAAATGCCACCTCATCACAACCCACTCTCTCCACCTTTTTCCTCCTCTTTCCTCCTTCTTCCTCCTTATCTTTCTCTCGCCCCTTTCCTTCCTTTCCTAGCAACTGGCAAAAATGAAGGAATCAAGATCAAGCTTTTTTTTCATCTTGTATTATGTGTTCAAAAAATGATGTGATTCCTCTTCATAACATTTAATTTACTAGACATTAAATCCCATTTTAGCACATTTTACCTCTTTTTACATCTTTTAATCAATGCAGACCCAAGTCATGAGATGATAAATGCACTCGCTCTTTGAGTGTCCGTAAAGAGGAAGACTATTAGTTGATAAAAAAAAGTGTTATCAAAATGAAATTAGAATCAACTTCAAACTATAATCTCAAATCTTTTTCACTCAAAGCTCATTCATTTCTCGGAATAACAAAACTGCTTCGAGTCAACCTTTTACAGTCAATTAAATGATAAGACTTGAGTCACATTGAAATAAATCTCGTTATTTAAAATCTCATCACAATATCGATTTAAACTTTATGTTGAATCAGTTGATGAAAATCCTCTGAAGTCAACTTTACTTTTTTTCATCCTAATTTGCAGATTGTTAATAATAATCATGATTATCACCTGAATATTGCTTACCGTTAAATGTTGAAATAGCCAAGCTCTCATTATATTTGTTGCAGTTTTTGGAAAAATTCCTCTTTTCTTTTGTCTTTTCTTATTACGTTCATCGTCATCCTCTTCGCCGGTCCCGTCACCACTACCGACGGAAGCATCACCTAAAAAAGATCCTGGAATTAAGTAATCTCCTGAAGAAAAACAAAAAAAAATTAGTCACATGAATTCATGAAGAAAGCAACAAAAAACTTGCAATAAACATTTTCAGCATCTTCTTCCAACTCAAAAAGTTTAACCATTTACAAAGACCAACAAAACTACAATTTTTACCATAATTCAACCATTAGCCTTAAATTGTCGATAAAAATGTTAATTAAAACACCAATTATGCAAACATCTGTATCAGTATCAAATGATTTGGGTCAACACAAAATTTGAATAAATTGAAAATTCGATTTCACTTTTCTCGCAATAATTGATTTCAATTAATTTGAAGATCAGAAATTAAAAGATATTAACAATTAAGAAATTTTCAGACGGAAAATTTAATAACAATTGAAGATGATGAAGAGCAAGAGGATGATGAAGGTCACTGGCCTTTATTTTGCCCTTTTCATCTTCACCTTTCATCTTTTTCTTCCATCTTCATCAACCAAATCTTCATCTATATAGTTTAATGATTGACAGGTAAGTACAAGGAAAAGAGAGAAAGAATAAGGAGAAAGAGAGGAAAGTAAGATGATTGGCGTGAGGTTCGAAGGATGAGAAGATTTGAAACATTTCGGAAGACGATGAGAGAAGAGAGAGAAAAGAGGAAGATAAAGAGATGAAGAAAGCACAAGGATGAGCTAAAAAAAGAGGTTGGTGACATGAGGTAATATGTGGGCAAAGTAAGAGCATCACCTTTGATGGCCTCAAAAAAAAAAGTTTTACCTGGACTTGGATTTATATATATCATAAACATGAGCAAGATGATGAGAAAAGCATCTTCAGATGAAGAATCAGCAGGGAAGCAAAGAGCAAGAAATTGATAAAAGCGTGCATTTAATAAGCTGTCAAAAGGCTAACGTCAAAGAATCTCATTTTTTTAAAGGAGCGTTTCCAGTTCGTACTTTGTATATTTATATGTTTACCTGTTTCCTCCTCAATTTTGTCCTTGTTTCAATTTCCTTTTCCTCTTTTTTTATCATTTCACTTATTCCATGTTTCAAGAAGTTTCAGTAATTTAAACATTTCTTTCCAGATGCTTCAAGTGGTTGACCATTTTGACCTAATCCTTTGTAAGAAAACCACAAACAAGATTATCCCAGATTATGACAATTAAATAATTAAATGTTACTAATCCGTTGGACAGTTGGTACAGCTAAGAAGATATTGGTGTAATTTAGACTAAAATAGTTTTTTGCATTTTAAACACAATCATCAAAAACAAGCGAACACGATTAGTTGTTGTTAAGAAGATTGTTAACTACTAATCTCGGGATTAGAAGCTCGAGAGCAAATCTAAAATTTCAGTGTCCAGTGTTTGGTAGAAACTGACCTCAGGCAGCAAAAAACCATCTACTAAACACATTAGTCGTTACCAGTTACAATGATTCATAAAGACTATCAACAGAATTCATTTTTCTTCTCGTAAATACAATTTTCTCATCTTCTGTTCATCTGTTCAACCCTGTCCTTCCTGTCACTTGGCATCATCTTTCATCGTAACATCGACCACGTCTGACTTTACCTTCCGGTCTTTTCCTTATTCAGACCAATCTTCTCTCATCTTTTTCTTCTCCATCAACATCATCATCAGACTCATCGTCTTCACTGGCCACCATTTTAATAAGGTTCCCACGAGCTTTTTGTTAACCTTATTAACATGAATTTACACTTTTTCATCTTTCAACGTAATCTTCACTCTAAACTATCAACATGCAACATCTACTAATAACAATATGATCAACAGAAACGATTCAAGAAACAAGCAAAGTATATTAATCAACTGCATTGGCCAAAAACAAGATGAAAAAAAACTTGCAAATGCAAATGAATGAAAAGTGTGAACATTATTATCATCATAATCATCATCTTTCCCTTGTCATCATCCTTATTAATAATTTTCATTTTTCGCCATCAACAATGAAAGTGAAGAGAAGAGAAAAAAAATGCAGCAACAATTATCAAAGAAAAATTTGTTCAATTGCAAGTACATCTTGTTTTTTTTAACAAACTAATCATTTCCATCTTGTGTGTCTCGCATTTCACCAACTGTACAACAATCAGAAACATTTTGTGGTGTCATAAAAAGATGAGATGCTCACCATTCAGACACGTTTATAAATAATCTAAAGCACACCAGTTTACCCTCCTCATCACCCTCCGCCTAACCCACCACACCATCCTCCTAACCACCCCCTATTAACTCCCAAATACCTAATAGTCTGTGAAAAATGTTTAAATCCATTTCTCATCGACAATGGAAAATATTTATCCATTCAACTTTTCTCATCAAAAAGTTGAAACTTCGCACTGGTTACAATTTTCAAAATCTTTACATTTAACCATTTGATTGGACTGTCGACCATTCATGATGCAAGATTGTCAAGGTGCTAATCGAGTAATCAAGATTCATGGAAAAGTCTTTTCTCTCTTTACTCGAGATTTTACTTTCTATTAGCAAAATTATCAAATATAATAGCAACAGTTTTAAGCGCATGAACACGCACATCTCAAGAGACAGACTCACACACAAATTACGCTCATCTTGAATCTTTTTTTCTCTTCTTCTTCTTCATTTTACCTTTCAAGCCCTCAAGCTTAGCTCTTTTCTCAACTTACCTGAGGCCATTTTTGTTCATCTTCAGTGTGCAACATAATTCGCTTGCTATTACACATTGCTCATTTGCAATTATCTTAAATGCTGCTCACAAATTAGGAAAGTCCTTTTGCTATACTTTGCTGATTTTGTGCCCAAAAACAACAAAGGTATACACAGAGTATCAACAGTGCAAAATGAAAAGCCTTTTGTCCACCTTTTACCTTATCAACATTTCAAGTGAAACCTAAACGGGCAACAAAATATTAATACATAATAATGTTAACCTTGAAAGATAATTATTTATTATATTCATTATTAAAGCAAAAGATCAACTTCAAGTGTTGCTTTTGCATTATTGAAGCAATTTTAGCAAATTCATTGTGATAATTGTCGATCAAATTGTTTAAGTTCTGTAATTGCTTTAGACTTTCTAATTTGTTTTTTTTTCTTCTCAGGTAATTGAATGAAACATTTTACAGAAACCATTTCATCTGAACAAAAGTGAAACAATTTACTGAAAAACTATAACCAGAATCATTTGTTAAAGATTGCTTGAATCAACTGTTAGTGATGTTCATGTCACCAACAGGCTTCCAAGTTACCTACTAGACACACTCACAGTAGCACAAGAAATATGTCAACAACAGGCATCGAGTGAATGACAATGATGATAATGAGGATTATCATGAGAACAGGTTGGTTGGTCGGAGAATAGAGAAAATAACATTTTCTATTTTTTCTTCTGCAAACAATTATTGATTCTTACTGATTGCCAATTTGTTGATATTTTATTTGGCTTTCAACTTGCCTTTTTCCTTAACCCAAAATAATCAAACTGCATTAGCATGAGAAGCTTTTGGTTAATACACAAAACTTAGTCAATCCTTTTGTTTTGTCCTGTCACTTGCAAACCCTGTTATTGCTTGGAAAAGCCATTAACAATCAATATGGATTAACAAAACTTGACCAGTAAACACATAAAACCACGTGACTAAATGGTCAACTATTTGAGGTTTACTGGTGATGGAAATGTTCTGGTCAAAAGTGTGCAAAATATTGTGAGGCAAAAAAAAGATAATCTTGGCTTTTTGTCTCAACCAGATTAATGAAGATCAGTTGGCTTTAGTAAACTTGATGACAAACTGTTCTTGTACATTTGATTGTTAAATGCTGAGCAAGTGAGGCGCGTGTTTATCAACCCTAATGTCACTAGTTTTATGCAAGTTTGCACTGAAACGCGTGTCAATGCTATTTGCTTCTTCCATTCAATGGTAAATATTAAAACTTGTTTTTCCCTTAAAATTCACTTCACTTTGCCTTATTTAATATTTTATATCTTTTGCCCATTAATTTTACTTCTTTGTAGACGATGGTTTCAAGTTAAATGAGATTAAGCTTCAGGTTTGACTCAAGCTTCACTCAACTTCAATGTTGACTGTTAATTGAATTTCAATAAAAGTCAACATTCAATGTCTTTGTTTATTGATGGAAAAGTTAATTGCAACTGTTTGTTGTTATTCAAATTGTCATTTCATGTAATTATCAATTGGAAAAGAAAATCAATAAAAACTTTTCGTGAAACTGAAATGCTAATAAGATCATCAAAAAGATGAGTTGGTAATTGTTGATTAAAAAAGGATTATGCAAATGAAACCACCAGAAAGATAAGTATCTGAGTGATGAGGGCCAGAGATGATGACTGGTGTTGGGGCGGGAAAATGGGCTGGTTTAGCAACTTCAACTTCGCTTTTTTTTGCATAATTTTTTCTCTCTCTCTCTTAACTCATTTGCATCGGCTTCTTTTACATTTATACTAGGTGTTTATCATGAGTTAAATGTCTAACATGAGTTGGTCAGAAGGATGCTAAGTTCAAGTTGATTCTTACCTGCTTCACTGTTGTTATCGGTACTCTGTTGGGAACTTGGTTGTTGTGATAAAGGTCCAGGTGTTCCGGTTGATCCGGTCGGTGAACGTACATCATCATGGACTCCTGGTCCACCATAGGAGTTGAGTGACTGTGAAGGAGGCCTCTGTTAGGAGAAAGCAAAAAATGGGTTAAAATGTTTGTTCATTAAATTGTAGTTTCTCAATAAACAGCAGTCAGTGATTTAAAGATTAACATTATCATTACATTTTGGTTTATCAATTAGCATTTACTTTTCAATGGGAAACGATTGTAACCAGTTGAATGGATCCCTTTGTTGGATCATCAAAAAGGCAAAATAACACATAAAAGGACAGCAAAGACATTCGATGAAAATGATTCTAATCCATTTTCCCGAGAGAGAGATTTAATACTCTTTCAAATTGTTACAATAATGATGATTGTTAACCGGACAAAGAAACGTAACGTTCAACAATGAACATTGGGTTAAACTGAACCGATTATAAATGTAAAATTTGGAGCCACAAAAGTTGAATCTTTCCTCTTTCACTGAACAAATTGATGATAATTTGTTAAACATTACATATGGTTTAACAAGGGAAAATGTTCAACTCTACAAACAAGACAAAACTGAAACTAAAAAAAACTTTAAGATTCTCTTGGTTATTGGTTCAACACATTGGAACGTTACGATTCAACGAACAAGAAAATAGTCACTAATAGATTGACGATGATCAATGTGATTCAGTCAACTAGGTTGGTTGCAAATGGCAAACAAGGTAAAAATGTTGATTGGATGGTCAAGGTGATGATAAAGTGTGATTAGAAGAAGGCGAAAAATGATGAAAAAATACACAAAAGATGGTAACAAAGATGATAATGTTTATCATCTTTATATTAGGAAAATATTTTCTTGTCATGATTTGAGTGATTGCCTTTAAATGTGATTGTGTTGAAAGGTTAACTTTTTTTCATCGTTTTACTGGTTACACTTGAATGAGATAAATTAGAGTAAAGGTAACTTTTTGTTGCATTTTACGTTCATCTTTTGCTCACTTTCATTATTATGGATCATCTTCACTCTCATCATCATTTCAAATGAGATATAAAATTGACAATAACCAGCCAATGAAGCAATGAGATTTTTTTCAGTTCCTTTCCTTGTTTCCAGTTGATAAACTTTCAGTTTTTGATGAAAACATTGAAATGGGTAAACACAATATAATGATGTGTTGAAAGATAACTTTATAAAAAGTGATTTTCGATCAACTTTACTTGTCTTTTTTTGGCCTAACAGTTTATGCCTTTTCATTATCAATGGAAAACAATTGATAATGAAGACCAGAAAACCAGAAATAACCAGAAAAAGAGATTGTTGGAAACATGATTAACAGTGTTTCTGTTTAATGGTTCATTAGATAATCTTGTATTTGATTCTAGGCTTGGATTAAAAGTGAGGAAAGAGTGACCCATGGAACCAGGAAAATGGTCAAGAGTCTTGTAGTTGGCAATTAATTTGAAAATGTAAGCAAACAAAATAAGGAAAGGCTTAAGATGGATCAATGGATGAAACAATGATTAAAGGGTAAAATTTTTGTGCGAACCTGTTCAGTTGGAGATTAATTCAATTGACAATTGTTCATAATCTTTTCTCATTTTCACCATGAAATTGAAATCACTCGATAGAAGGAAACTTTCTCTTTTTGCCATTGTTTCCTCATTCATGAATGTTTAATTTTGATCAAAATTGAAATTCTTTACACACTTTCTTGTCTCAACATTATTTTAATGTAAATTCAACGATTTCTCTCTCCTATTATTTCACCACAAAATGTTATATTCAACCTCATTATAGTTTTAATTGTCGCTATAGTTTAATGGCTAAGCTTGAGAGGCAGAAAAGCGTAAAGGATTGTTTTTATCGTTTATGGCGTTTCGGTTGTTGTTTAACAAAGTCAAGTGAAAACAAGGTTTTGATAGAGGAAATGATGATAACCTAACAATACATTATAAAGGTAAACCAACAATGGAAAAAAGGAACCAGAACTGATAACGATAAGTCAAGATGATAACATGTTGAATATGAGCTGATAAAGTACTGGGAATGCAAATAAATGTTGTAAGAGGGAAAAAACGGTTAAAATGATAAAGGTTAATGTTTATGTTAAGGTTTTTGTTGAGGGAAAGGTGCAGGTAAAAGTGAGAGAAGCTCAGCGAAGAAAAAGAAACAAACGTAAACTTGAAAAGTCTCATAAAGTTGATCATAAATCAAATAATTAATTTTGATATTTATTTAGTCAACAACAGGACCAATAACGAGGATAAATGAGATAAGGCCAACAATATGGAAAAGAAACAGGAAAAAGTAATAAACTGTTCAATAGCAACACAAAGTATATTACAGAGTTTATTAAGCGAGTTAATCTGATAAACTCAGTTAACTCATCTTTAGCTTCTGAATTCATCTCTTCATTTCAATGATATCAATAAATTCTCAACGCAATTCAAAGCTTTTCAACTCTCAATGCCCATAAAAGAATACAAAAAATCTAGAAATCGACAAAATCTTTTCATCGAACTTTTGAATCACAAGTTCAGAAATTTGCAAATCCATTGAATTTTATGCAAATTTAAAGATTTAATTGAACATCGAAAAGAATGATTCATGAATTCCCTGCAATTCATGAGGAAAGTTTAGAAGTAAAAACAAGAGATTTGATCATTTGTTGAAATCGATTTGAATGCAATAGAAAAATTTGGTTTCAAGTTTTGCATTGTTTGTGATTAGTTGAGAAATGGCAAGAAATTTTTGTTGTAAATCGACTGAACTTTAATTATTTGTAAAGGTTAATTGCAAAGATTGCAATTAAAATTGAATAATGAAATTTGTATCGAAATTTTTTCTGGATGCAAATGATTTAAGATAAGTTGAGAACAGGTAGAAAAGGGAAAATCTTTGAACCAAATTATGATCATGATTGTCACATCACCACCTTGAACTACTTTTCAACATCATCATCTTTTTGCGTATCATGATGAAATGGAAGATGAATTTTTTAACGTTTTCTCTTCTCTTCTTCTTTCTTCCTTTTCTCTCTCTCTCTTTCTCTGTTTTCTATCATCTAATTGACCTGCTACCAAGATAATTAGCTTCACCAATGCTATAAATCATCATAACCTTTCAGCCAATGCCGATATATTTTCACGCTCATACTTATTTCTGGTTCGTTGAAGTTTTTTTTACTTCAACTTTCACTTTTCTCATCCAGAATCTTGCCTCTTTTCACACTCACACACTTAGACTTTTTACACCAACTCTAGGTGAAGCTTATTTGCAAGGAGAAGAAGAAGAAAAAAAGTTTACCTCAACTTTTGCTGCTTTTTCAACATTCATTGTTGACAATCAATAAACTACAAAATAATAAACTTGTCTTGGGAAGCTTGTACGTTGGTTAGGTAAACACTCAATGAACAAGTGAGACATCAAAAAAGTCAGGCAAAGTAAAAAAAGTAAATTGTTTTCAATTGACTGTTGAAGTTTATGTTAATCAAAAACTTTGCTAATGATGTAAATCAGTGTAATCATTTGAATTGCCAATTTATGCAAAGTGTCTTTACTTTAAAGGGTAACTCGAGATGCTTTTAAAGGTGGTTTCAAGACTCGGCTTTACCCTGACATTTTTCATGATTGCCTGTTTGTTATCACACTTTCATAGTTATACAATCAACTGACCGTTTTGTTTACTAAAATGTAATACAATGTTGGTTTCATGTTTATTTGCACTTTGCTTTCTCTCTCTCTCTTCATCCAGGGTAACTTGATAGGAGTGAGTTGATATTGTACTTTAATGAAAATGAGAGAAGGAAAATCAAACAAAATGGTAAACTCAATGTACCTTGAATACAAGGAAACCCAAAATCAAAGTAATGATGAACCAACTACTTTACCATGAGCATTACAATTACAACTCTCAACAGAAAATTAAAGATGAAAATTTTCATCAAATCTTGTGGACTGGGCTTAACGCGCTCTTCTTAGGCTTTTATTTAAAGTTGCCTTCAAAGTCTCATTCACTTTAGTCTCTTAGCATCACTTGAAAATCCATTGACTGAACAACTACTTCATTTGTTTATCAAGTACAGTTTATGCAAACCTTTACAACAATATGGTAACAAGCTCATCACTTTACTCACTTACAGAGTAAACAGATTTAGCTCATCATTTCATCATCATAATCATTTTTAGCCTTAACTCATTTCATCCAGTTGATAATGAACTTGGTGGACAGAAGCAGCTTGAAGTTGCTCTTGTAAACGGGAAAGCAAAGAATAATGAAGAAAGTGAAAGTTTCCTAAAAATAGTAAACAGACTTTGATGAAGCCACAAATGCAAGGCATTTTGAACCAGAAAAGATGGAAACCTTTTTCACTGAAAATCTTCGAAACAAAAAAGGTTTTCGCATTTTTAGTTTCAACAAAAATTTACTCTCGACCATCGGAAGCAATTTGCAAGTCACCAGGATATATATTTATATATATATTCAATGTTTCCCAAGAATGTTCAACTGAAAAAAAGTTAACATTGATCTTGGTAAGTAAAACTTTTGAGCAAATGAAAGTTATGTGAACGGGAATTAGCTTCTTGACGGGGTTCCCATAAGATTAACTGTCACTAATTTTCTTCATCATCTTCTTCTTCTCCTTAAATATCATCCTCATTTTTGCCTCTTCTTCTTAATATTACCCCCTACCTTTACCCTAAAACATGAGGGAAACAAGAAGAAGAAGAAAAAGAAGAGAAAAATTTGCGTTTTTCAAATAAAAATTGACTCTAATTTTGATGATTTTACTGTGAAAAAAGTAAGAAGCCAAAGAATCCCTGTGAGTTTTGAAAAGCCATTACTGTTACAATGATATATTACCTTTTCATTTTGATATCACTTGAAATCATTGAAATGAGATAAAAAATCAAGGTAAAACATTTTCTTACCAATAAACTGTTTAATTAGATTATACATTAACCTGGAACATGATGGAAATGAAATTGAAAGATTGAAAAGTGAAATTATCAGTTTATTTTAATTGCCTTTAGTTGTCTTGTTTTATGTCTCATTATTATCCATTGTTTCAATCACAACTCAATTG